TTCTGAATAATGCTTTTTTAGATGTAAGAGTAGAATTTTTATATAAGTAGAATTTTATACATGAGCAGAATTCCCCCCCCCCCCCCCCCACTTAGAGGTGAGAAGTATGAATCTTTCACTGTGTTATGGAAATAAAGATTAAAAACCCCCTACAAACCCAGCTGTAAATCTGATGTGACACACTAACGATACTGCTAAATGAATTCTGGCCTAAACACAAGAATTAAGGCTTAAGGAAATCACTGAGAAGCCACACGCTCAAGAAGAACCACAACCATATCCCTTTTCCTTTCAGCCAGGAAAAGGCATCCACCTGTGTAAGACACAACTTCATAAACCAGCACTTCAACACAACAGGGTTTAATACCCGACAAAATGTTCCTGTCAAAATATTTTTAAAAAGCAAATAAAGCACTTTGCTTATAGTCATGTTTACTCCTTGCTAACACAAAGAAGACTTCTCTCCCCATTTGTTTTCCAGGTAAAAAGTCACTAAAAGCACCAAGAGTTAATGTCTTTGTTCCTACTGCCTTTATACCTTTCTAGACCCCGTTTACCTGAGAAAGGGCAGAAGACAGCAGTGTTGGATCCTTGCCCTGGAACCCCACAGGTGTCTAAAATCCCACTGGGCCAAATCCATAGTCCCACCAGGGCAGACACTGAGATCCTCCAGTTAACTTGAAACCATCTCAACAGTCCAGCTCCACTCACCAGCACTTTTCAGTACTGCTGTGGATTTCCCTCAGTTCAAAGGAACGTCTTTTTTCCATTTTTAAATCAAAAAAAACTGAACTGGAGGAGCACAAGCTGATGCACATGGCTGAAGGCTGGCTACACGCACGTGGAGTTTAAGGACATAAACCCGCCGTTCCTATCCCATTTAAGAATGGGATAAATGCCAACAAATTAACTTTCCTGAGATCTGTGAGTTCGAGATCACCGGAGGTAATCAAATGACAGTAAGAGGACACAAGCACCAGCCATACTGAACTGCAGTTGCTGTTTTGCTCGTGCATGGAGGGTTACATTTCTTGGCTCCCGGGGCAAAGCTATGGCACACACAGAGTTAACTGTGCCCCCCACCCCGGCTTCACCCCCCTTCCCCCCATCTCATTCATGCCACATTCCACAGTGGCAGGGTCCAACAACAATA